CTCTGTCCATATTTAAGGGTTACATAAACAAATGAACTTTATTTTAATTGCAAACAACACCAATGGGACTACAAATGCAAAAAAATTTCAATTTGGAACAGAACTCCAAAATAGAGAAAAAAAAAGGTAGACAATAAGTGGGTGGGACAATTTGATCATTTACCTTGCAAATCCAAAGTCAGCAATCTTTAAAACCGCATTGCTATCATTTCTTGATAATAGAAGATTCTGTTCCAAACCAATAAACATTACAAAGAGAATATATTCACAAAACACTTCATAGCATGGACAAGACTAGTATATATCAAAGGTTGTCTTCCAACATGAAGAATTTATTTTTGAATGCTTGTCTGCCAATATATACAACTTCATGACAACCCATAATATGGTTCAAAAGCATACGCAATTTAGAGGGAAAAAAGGCACCATCTCTTACATGTAACTCCTTGATTACAATTATAGAAAGAAAATACAACTTTTAGAGCAGGCTTGCATCTGTACTTATATGCATAAGTAAAAATTATATCAAAATTTGAACTAGAACCAAACAAAATGAACTGAACCTGAGGCTTTAGATCCCGATGTATAAGATTATTGTCACGGAGAACTTGTAGGCCAGCCGCTGCAAAACGATGGTTGAAGAAGTTTTGAGTGAACGAAATTCAGTAGACAGGACCTATAACCAGACAGAGTTTGCAGCATACCTAGCTGCTGCATGAAATGCTTTGCAGTTGCCTCAGAGACACTTCCATGGCGTGCAATATACATAGAAAGATCACCCCCCTTGCAGAACTCCAATACAAGATGTATCTTTCCAGGAACCTACGCATATGTATACAAGCCAAATTAAAAATATCATTAAGATAAATACTATACTCCTGCTCATATAACAAGTAGAAGTACAAAGAACTCGACAGAGTGGCATATCAGCAATATCTCAAATAACTTTCATTTCAAATCAATGTATACTTGTGAGATGACCTCAACATACAAAAGATCTAATGAGAAATAACAAAATGCCAATCCAAGGCATAGACCAAAATTGCAACTAAGGAAACCATTACCCCACTCCAAGCTGTAAATGGAATGAAGGACCACAGGATAAAACTACTTTAGCAGGACGAAAATATGCACAAATAGATATAAACAAAAACAGCACCGAGCTTCACAATCACGTACATGCTAAGAGCTATTCAATTTAGTTTCCCTTGGCCAATGCAAATTTACCCAAAATTTATCAATGTTCCTCAAAGCTTCAACTTAGTATTAGTTGCGGTAGCGCAAAGGGAAACAAAATTAAACTTCAACTCATTTTTGGTCTTCCAAATTGCAAACCAATAGAAGCTTATGTAATCACATTAAACAGATTGACTGCAAATTCTACTCTTCCTTAATTCATTCATTATCTGCTTCTATCAAATATAAGTCAAACATATGACCAACCAAAGTCCTTTTTCAATGGAAAGTCCACAAAAAAATTTTCTCTCAAAAATAGATTCTTCTCGTTAAAATATTTTCAGTAAAAAAATCCTATCCTCTGTTCTTTTATTATTTTCCTTAAAAGAAATTACTATCTAAATAAACGGCACCTCAATTACCAGTCCCTACCTTACATAACAGCTCAATTTCTAAAATAAATTTAAATATTTCCGTTTCCGCCACTTTTCCCTCTACTTTCTCGGCATCCAAACAACTCCTTAAAAACTAATAGTAAAATGAAACAAAATTTAAAAAAAAAAAAAGAACTAACCTCTATAATATCATGCATGCGAATAATATTAGGATGATTAATTCTCCTCAAAATAAAGATCTCCGACATCAAACTATCCTGTAACTTCTTATTGAGCCGACCCATTGCGATCTCCTTTATCGCCACCTCGGTTCCATGAACTCGGTGCCTCGCATGCCAAACAACCGAGAACGAACCGGAACCGATTTGCCGGCCCACTATATAGTTCCCTACCACTCTTCCCCTCCCCGTCGCTTGCGCCATTACAAAAAGACAGAAACCCTAGGATCCAACACCAGAAGTTTTCAAGCTTAAATATTTAGATTATCGGATTCCGGAATTTGGATCTTTCCGAAGATTCGACCCGTATTTTTAAAGGATTTCGGATTGGCCGTGTAAAGATAATATGGTGACGAAGAGCGAGGAAAGGTAGGGGAGGGTGAGATTAAATTTTGAATGGGAGCTTTCCTTGTTTAATAATTATCAGTTCAATTATTGAGACTATTAATTGTGATTAGCGAACGTAATCTTGGATTAGCGTTTCTGATTTGATTCCTTCTCATATAGAGTCCCAAGCCAAAGCGGAATTTGCCATGGGAGAGGATTTTTAACAGACGGTTAGTTTCACCGTGTAACAATGGATGTTAGTGAACTGGCGGGTTTTGATTCGGTGGCTGCGGGTTAGGTGATGATGGAAAAGGCGCCGATGTCGATAGTTGATACGTGTCTGTGAGAGATTGGTTGGATAAATTTACTTTTCCGCCTTTTATGAATTTTTTCAGAGGTTGGGATTCCAACGCCAAATGGTAACAGTGTTTCTTTTCTATTTATCACTTTGTGCTTAAGATATTTTTTTTCTTTTCCTACTAATAAATATCTTATTATCTTAACATTGTATTTTTCATTTTACATCATTCAATTTGAGTAAAAAATAAATCTTTGATTCTTCACTTCATTTCTATCAATAATAAGAAGCAAAAGAATATCCAACATATGTACTAAATAAATTCAAACTAAGTATTTAACAACACGTGAATATTATTAAATAAATAAATAATAAAAGAATCACAAATTATATAAATACACAATAATATAAGTAATTAATTATGCCTTATATTTTTTTTGAAATTAAATAGGTTTCGACACAACAAGATTAATATATAATTACTAGAAACTTAAATTTGTTTTAATTTGTATTGTATTTTTGTCGTGTACAAAATTACTAAACCTATTAACTCCTTATGGAAACAAAAATTATCCATAATATTAATTGAAAACAAAAATATCGATAAGATATTAATAGAAAAAAAAAACAAATCACATAGTATCATGCAAAAATAAAATAAAATGAATTGTAAGTGGCATTTATCCTTTTATAATCTTCTATTTTTTTAATTTATTAATAAAAAATAAATTAGCAACTCTTTATTTGAAAGTGTAACTATGTTTCAATCACTTTTTTTTTCTTTATATTTTTAGTTTTCTATCTTATCAATAAACCTAATTATTCCTTTAATTCAATTTTTTAGGTTTTTGTTGTAGATGTGATGTCGCTTTTTGACGCCATGCCTAGATAAAGTTTGTCATGTTACACATGAAATTTTTGGTCAAAAAGAATTAAGCTTGATTAACTTGTAGCATTAGGTGAGACCTATAACATCCCATTAGCCCAATCTATAGAATCTAATATGCCTAATTAAAGGTTGGCTTAGCTCAAAGTAAAGGGGAAAAAAAGGAAAATATAAATATTAAAAAAATAAGTAATACGTCAATTACACTTGCGAGTATGTTTATGATATAAATTATACTTTATTCATCTCTAAATATATGTTCTTTTTTTTATTTTTATGAAGATTAATATAAATTTTTTGATTTTTATGTATTTTATTTATATTTTAAAAAAATAAGAATTTTTATTATCAAACATGTGTGTGTTACAAAGAAAAAAAGTGACGATATTTATAGATGGATAATCACTAATTTAATTATAATATGAATTCAAAATATATGATAAAGGTTAAGACGTTCAAATTTGAATATTAATCACATTGACATTTAAGTTCCAAAATACACCCACCAACCAAATAAACAATTCTACCCGAGTGTGCGCGCTAGGCCTATTGTTTGATCTTGCTTGTCTGATGTGTTTGCCTAGGTTGCTTGCCGTGTGCGTGGCCTGTTGGTTTGAATTGTTGAACCGTGTAGACTGTTAGCAGACTCAGACTAATCGCTCCACTAGCAAAGATCAACCATGCACCGCCACCCATGAATTTAAAAAAGGACTCTCAATTTGTCAATTATTACGATATCAGGGCATGGTAAGTTTACTTGTGTTGAGTCAAATTAAGCTGCAAGTTTTAATTTTAGTAGTGCCCTTTTTCTTTAAATTTCAATTTTACCATCATATTTTCTTCGAAACTCAAAGATTTTGATTTTTCATAAAGTGCTAATAAAGTCTTGAAATTATAATCCGTCAATCCTTGATTGATATTTATTTATTTTTAATATGGTTGGTATCATTTATGGTTGAGATTAGGATGATACTTAGATGTCTTTAAGCTTTCAATTTTCATAATTGATTAATGAAAATATATTTGACAAATATTTTTTGTAGTTGTTCATTTTTCATAAATTTAATAATTTTACCTATGATTATGAAATACAAATGTTTCCTATTATCTCTGTTAATCATTATTTTAATCCTAAAAACTAACATAATAGGATCAAAATCTTTTTGATGTTATTCCATGCTAATATATTCGCACTTTAATTTCTTCAAAGTAACAATGTTGGAGTTACAAGTTAGTCAAACAAGGCCATCGTGGATTATAGGGATAAGTTGACTGGTGTTTTCCGTAAGACGGAATGACCAACTGAACCCCGAGGTTCAACAACATGCAAACAAAATACTAAGAGTATATCAAACTAAAAGTAGCTTACCAGTTTAAAATTCAAACAAAACATATTCATGTATTGGAATTGACTTGTTCATATAACAAATTTCATATAAATGGCTTGATTTTGGTTTGTTTGCACGCAAAATTAAGTTAATCAAGTAGTTTTGAAAAAAGCTTGGATTAGTACATGAACAAATACAATTATCATTACTTTCTTTCCCTTGGTACATGATACAACTTACCCTCAAGGAGGTCTGGGTGGTGTAGTTGGTTATCACGCTAGTCTCACACACTAGAGGTCCCCGGTTCGAACCCGGGCTCAGACAAATTAAAGGTTTTTATTATTTTTCAATTTGCATTATTCTCCTTCTTGAACCTTCCAAATTCCTTCAAGCTTCAGCCATTTTCATTTTTAGAGCAATCTCCCCCGAAAAGAAAAAAAACTCTCCAAACAAATTAAAGCTCTCCCACCCAAAAACCTCTCCTTCCTTACCCAACCTCGATTTATTTCCCCTCAAGCTTTACTTCCTCGTCAAATTTCCCTTCTCTTGGCCGCCGATTTTCAGTTTCTAGGGTTCCGTACCGTGTGGAAAGGAGGATTGAGCTTAATCGAATCCAATGGATTGGGGAAACGTAACCGCGGAGGATCTGATCGACGCGCTTCGTGAAGTTGACTGGTCATCACCGCCACGACCTCTCTCCGAGTTCTTCTCCCGATTCACCGTCCCTCGATCATATGCTAAATGGAACAGCCGCCTTAAATGCAATCTCTACTAGTAAATCTCCTTTTAATCTTTGTTGTTTTCTTCTTCTTTTTGTAATTCGAATCAGTTTGAATCTTGATCTTTATTGTTTGGTTGCCGTGAAGAGAAAGGAAAATGTTCCAAAACAAGAAAATTCTTAAATCTTGATCGTGAATATACTTGTGCTAATTCTGGATCAAATACTTCATTTCTTTTCGTTTCTTACTTGAATTTAAATGCTTTTTTTTTTCTTTTGCAGCTATCGAACCAACTATTTTATAATGATTGTTCTCATTCTTGGTAAGTAGATGAAACCAGCGGTCCAGCTCGAATTTACTTTTTCTACATATATTTGTACTAATTTTTTGTGATTCTGCAGGTATGGGATTCCTGAGGAGACCGGTTGCTATTTTAGCAGCAATTTTAACAGCGCTTAGCATCGCATTTCTGAATGATAGGTAAGCTATGGTAAAACTCCTCTTCTTTTAGTGCTCTGAATTCGAGTCACTGATGTTGTTATTTTGTATGTTACCTTTGAGATGGAAGTTTGAGATGGAAGGATGAGCCTAGTATTGAAGGTTACAATATGGTTAGATTTAGTTTCTCATCTGTGGTTGCTAATAATTGTTTTCTCGTACAGCTTTGCTGGTACTTTTAGTGAGAAGGTGACAAGAACTGTGAGGCAATTCTCTCCACATTTAGCAGCGAAGATGAGGCCTCCCCTTACGTAAGTTTCATTCACTTATTTGTTTCTGCAAAGTATCTGTTCTTGCTTTTGGTTAGTAACTGTTTCATTTTTGCCAGGCCTGTTATTCGTGGACGGCCGTCAGCTAAAAGAGCAATTCACATATGCGGTCGGCCTCGTTGGGTGTTTGTCTTCATATTCTCTTCTGGTATTATGTTTGAGAAATGTTCTTACATAAAGCAAAACTAATCTGTTTGTCATTAAATGTAGTGTATAAAACAACTGATTTTACCCTTCTTGTTGCAGTGAGTTTTATCCTTTGGTATGTGTCCTGTGGTCTCTTCACTGTGCTATGGGCACTTGCCATTGCACTTCTTGGTATGTCACCTCCTTGTGTCTTTTTTTCTCGTTTCCCCCCCTAAACATGTTACCTTTTCATCTAACACTCTTTCTCTTTCTTTTTCAGCTACCATCCTCCATGCAAGTTTTAGAACACCTAACCTGAAGGCGCGTCTTAACACATTCCGTGAGGAATTTCGTGCAGTTTGGCGCAATTACAGTGAGCTGTAGTTCACACAGTTCGTAGCATGTGAGTATATCTGCATTCAATGTTATATTGGATTTTGGCTTCTTCATTTTGTTTGTTTTAAGGGCTTACCTTGATTAAGAGTTTAGTGCTGTTATTCATGTTTTACTTTTCTAGATTCAGCTGTTAATCGGTTGATTATTTTGGATTATTGTATTATTGACATTCTACTCTTATATATTCTAAGGTTATGGGCTTTTTATTTCACTATCATGACTTGCATGGTAGTGCAGTGGTTTGTCCTTTAAATTCTTTCATTTGTTTCTATTCTCTTGTCGTTGCATGTACGATGTTGTGAAGCCTTCTCTATTTAGTGTTACTGGTTACTGAGTATCTATGAGTATCACTTAGTGCTTTATTTCATCCGAATATGGTAACTCTGTGATTGTACTGGCTCCTTTTTCTCTACGGTTAAGTACTAGTTGATAAAACACTTTGTTGACCTCTTGAATGTGAGAACCTTGGAGAAAAGTTGGCTCTTGAGACCCCCATCCTTGTCTCAAAGTAAGAAGACTTAAAGCATTGAAGCATTGAATGGAGTAGAGATGTTCAAAAGAGTTCTCTTTAGCTGTTGGTGAAGGTTTTGGGTCACTGCCACTGGGTTTCTGCATGACGATTCTTGGCTTAATGGTTAAAAAGAATGTGTCTGCTTGTGGTATGCAAGTTGAAAAGGTTTAATTCTCTAATATCACTGGATT